CAAAACCCCAAAACCCCAAAACCCCAAAACCCCAAAACCCCAAAACCCCACAATGGCTAAATAAACTACTAAGATACTTAATGATATTTATGATCAAATTAATGATTTATTCTAGAAGCTTCATAAGTTAATTAATTACTTTTGACTATAGAGATTCAAGTTGGCACCATACGCCTTAATTTAATTACTATTTCCTTGAAGAGATCTCATTGACGCTTAATTTATTGAGGTAAATCCTGATCCTACTTTCAATGTGGTTTCTGCACTGTTTTGAGATGTCTAACCAGTGATGACTTATTCCAAAAATGGATCAGTCCTCTCGTCATTATTTAAGCTTTCATTAATCTCCTTCAATGGAGAAATAGTTGAGCTCATTAATTATTCTAAAAGCATCTCCTTGGTAAATGTTGATGGTTTGCTACCCTTTGAATTATGTCTGAATGTTGCATAGTTACCCTGTCCTCTTTCAAATCTCGCTTTCATCCTTGAGTCCTAAGATGATGGGCTAAATAATTTCTATGATTTTTCTGAAATAGTTGGCCTAAAAGTGCATTTAAGTGTCTCTAGTAGATTCAACTTTTCTTGCTAATTTTCAATCTTCTTCTACCTTTCTTTGCTCCATTTACGAGCTCTCTCATAAAACTTGTCGTTTTCTGCTTCATTCTGAATTTTACCTGAACCAATCACTTGCTAGTCTCTAGGTGAAATTGATCTAAATGCATTGGATTAGCATTCTTTTGATTTTGATCTTGATCTACTTGTAGTTGTCATCCTCTAGTAGCTTTTTAAAGGCTATCTTTATTCAATTTTATTCTCAGACTTTTTTGTTATCATTTTTGGAGGCAAGAGTTTAACTTTAGATTACTAGTTGCTTAACTTATCTAAATTCTCAAAGCAACTTGTACTAGCGTTAGATGCACACTAACTATCTACTTTTTAAAGTAATCCATTACTATTCTAGCCAGTTTTTGCTTAAATTATCATCTGTTGATAGATGTCTAGACTTGAGGGTGGCTAAGAATTAATGTTTTGGTTATAAGGTTGAAGTTACTAAATTGAGGCATTTCTGAATGATTAAGATACCTAAATATTTCCAAATGAGCAGGTATTATTAGATTTAGCAACATCAAAGAATGGCTAGGAGGTGCTATTTATTCCTGCTTAAAATGACTGATATTGATTATTGCTATTTGTGACAGGACTCAATGGTAGACCAGCTGAGGGTATGCTCATATACTGATTGAAGGAAGTAACTGATTAAGTTTGACTGAAGGGACCAGCCTAGTATAAATTATTTCTACTTATTGCATTAGGATCATAATTTTTGCCAAGGGGACTTAAGTTAAATGCTGACTATAGTTGAGTTGTAGATAGTAATCTTCCCTCTGCCTCCTTTTTCTTTTCCATATAGTATTTCTTATAAAGATCTTGTCTATCCTTGTTGGCTGAGATTTACCTTAAGTCTGTATGGCTAAGTGTAAGATCCTATTTAGACTCTTATCTTTTTCTGCTTCTCATTAGATATTTATCACTAATCTTTTTATCTTTGTTATGATGCTGATTGGCAATCTATATTTCCTCTAAGACTTTGTGCTTTACAGCTTACTCTTTTTTAATCTTATTCTATACTCCAATATTAATTAACCTTTCTTCAATTCTTTGATTGTTATACAGGTTCTCCTTATTTTGCAAGTACTTATAACTTTCCTTGCATAGATACTTCTTTCCTTTTTATTGATGTGTCTCTATTTCCTATCTCTCAAACTCTTCTTTTTGTCTTTGCATATCTTCTTTCTTTTGCTATTTCTCTTTCTGCCAATCGTAAAGATCCTTTATTTCCCTGCTTAGTGACTGAGCTTTTTGAGAAATCTAAGGTCTTCCTGTAACTTCTAAGAGCTTAGCTTAGTCAATGGCTCGTTTTAGGTCTTCTTTTCTTCTCTATGATTCGAAGAACGTATCCATGTCGAGATATGCAGGAATTGAAATTTCTTTCTCTTTTAGTATTTGTCTTGAGTTCTTAGATATTTGTGGTATTTTCTAGCATTATTCCATCTCCTAATTTTGCTTGATAATTCTTTATTGTTCAAGTTTTTATTGTTTTTACTTCTAGAGATATAGTAATCTCTAAACTACATCCTTTGGCTTTTTTTATTAATATGACTAAGTATTACTACATTGTTAGCCCATAAATTCAACTTACTCTTGCTGTGAATCCTCATATTCTTATTCTACAATTTTGTTTTTGCTCTCAACCTATATCTAATTCTCTTAATGATTGATCTCTTCATACTATTCTAATTATTAATTGTTCATATATTAATATTCTTCCTCATCTTATTATTGATTTTAATAATTGAAATCATTCTATTATTCCTGCTAATAGTACTGATTTCTCTGAGAACTACCCTACCTCTAATTTTACTTGTGCTTTCTTTGTAACAAAGCTGCTTGATACTCTTGCTAATCCTCAGTTATTCTTCTCTTGCCCTGCAATGCTTAAAACTCTTAAATTTCTTTACCAGAGTAATAGGCTTCTTGACTTTGCTTGAGGAGATTTACTTAATCATCATCATGGCCTGAGTGCTCAAAGTTTTTATTTTGCTCAGTACTTCTCATTTCAATTACTCCAAATGTTTCAACAAATCTTTCATTGCTTTCTGCTATTTTTCCTTCATTATCACAGTCAGCTTGAAGGTAATCTAGCATGTCCTATCTGGCTTGCTAATTTGCAAATGAATGAAGGGGAGCCTAATGTCCATTCTTTTCCAATTACTTCAGTGATTAGATGTCACTATACTTTGCTGTTTAAATTGATTGAAAAACATTTGAAGGGATATTTGTAATTAGTTCTGAGATTCCAGCAGATCCAAGTCTTTAGTCAGAATTTAAAGTTGAAGAATTGAATTATAATATTCCCTACTTTGGAGGAAGACCACTTGAACATTAACTTAAGGTCTAGAAATGAGTTCTATTGTTTTAAAGATTGCCTAGCTAGGAGTCACACTATTGAACTTTGATTTAATTGTAGCTATTCTAGGAAATAGAAGAATTCATGTCTTTTCTCTGAGAGTTATTGTGAGAATTTATAGTCTTCTGATTTGATGTGAATTTAGAATCAAAACCTATTGGGTCATCTCCCTAAATATTATCTGAAAGTGAGCATTTCTCCTCCATATATTCATCATAATCACATTGATAGAATGAGTCCTCTACAACGGATATAGATATCTGATTATTTTAATTATCTCCATTTGAGCTGAACATCCCAGAATTCTTGAATTAAATCTGATTTTAAATAGATTATAATGATCCCTTTTTAGAAAGCTCCTCTGTAATTTGAGGAAAAAATTAATTCATAGGTGTATAACAGTTTTCATCTTCCTCTTCTTTAATTTCAAAGGCATCTGTATCAAGATAGTTTCTTCCACCGAATTGGTTATTCGGAGGAGGGTTAAAGTTAACTATACTTGACTATGTCCCATCTCTTATAAGACTCAATGTCATATCACTAATCTAGAGATTACTTGAAGTAGTCTTAAACATATTGTGATCATTTTATTTTTAACTAGTCTACAAATTTAATCCTCCTGAAGAATTCGAATTCAAATTAGAAAATAGCTGTAAACTCTATTTACTTGACCCTCGGTTAGATTAACTTTGTAAATTAGATATTCTTTAAGATATTTAACTCTAAATGATATCATCATTTGAGGATGAGTACAAAAATACAGACTTCTTCTACTCATCTGAATATAAACTATGTTCTTTCCCATTAATATTTGAATGGGAGGGGATTTGCCTATGATGTGAATTGAGCAATGTACTTTGAATTTTTTGAGCTGCTGCTTGATACATGGCATTTTCAAGTTCTTGATCTTTGAATTAAGAACTGCACTGCTTTGATATTATCTGGAATCCTTCACTATAGGAATCCTCTAGTTGAATCTTTTAATCATCATCTTCGTCTTGGTCACCATCATTGAAAGATTTTAATGAATAATTGAAGACGCTTGTTGAAGGAATTGCTGTAATTTACTTTTGATTAGTTTGCTAAGGAAGTCCAAGCCCGTTCATAATGTTGTTATGCAAGAGCCTTTCATCATTTAAACTTGTCTTGATGGGGTTAATTCCACTAGTTTGAAATGGTGATATGCCACCCATATTATAAGCAATATCGAATACACCTCCTGTGGTAGCTGCACCCATATTGGTATGTCTATTCAATCTCTGGATGAAATTATGATCTTAGCTAGCACCCACAATCATGTTAGGTGATTAGTCAATTTTATTGCTGACTTGAGCATATTAAGTATAGTCCGCAATATCAGTTATCACATAATTAGAATCTTTGACTTTGACAATATCTCCTGAATTTGTTATTCCACTCAGTCTATCCTTTTCCTTGTATAGTGGACTCACATGATTATTTTCATTCTTCATTTAGCTGTTTACTTCTTAATTTAAATTTAAATAATTATTAATAAATCAACTCAAATTTAACAATATAATTATCATGATCTCCAAGTTGTTTTCATCTTTGAATCTTTCTAAATTGTCTAACTTTTCTATCACAGCCTATGTTTGAAATATTTATTAGAGCAAGTTAAATGGTTACCTTGTAAAATATATTTGGAGTTATTTTGATTCTCAAGAGTTCATTGAAAATTCTAGCTACGAAACCTTTGGAAAGTTTTGGTGATTCCCCTTGGCTATCCTTCTTTTTTATTTTAGCTAAAAGTTTCTCGAATCTTAATTTGGCTATTTGCTTTAAAAAGTCTCCCCAAGATAGCTTTTAAATTCCAGAAATATGATAAAGTTCAAACACTGCCACAGCTTGCTCTGACTTCAAAGGTTGCTTTGCAAAGGCTTTGATCAATCGATTTAAATTTACTAGATAACAATAACTAAAAATTGAGACTTACACGAATAGCTACCTCCAAGGCAAAGTAAAATTAATTTGAAAGTTTATTAAAGCACAGCCAATTCCTCTTTACTGAACAAACAATTATATAGCTTATCAAAAAGCTCTTCATATCGTTTCTAGTCTATAACTAGCTCATTTTTGCTTTTTAATTAACTATCGTTAGCTGTCCTATTTCTTTGTTCACTTTTTTAAGGAGTAGTTATACGATCCGATATTTATAACTTCTTAATAGATCGATTTATCACTATCTAAAAATCAGTGTTTGAGATATCTACACTACTTTGCTATATTGGGTCCTCACTTGTGTCTCTAGGCTTTTTTAATTCCTCATCATATAGAGAGATAATAAACTCTTCTCTAGTTCCCGCTGTTATTTTTATCTGTTCATTCTCGTATTCTTTGAAATCCTCTTTGATTTTCTTATAAGTTTCTGCTAGTTCTTTCAAGTAAGATTAATGGCACTTTGAGTTCAACTACCTAATATGATTCATAATTTCAATCTAAAAATCAGTATTTGAGTCATTAAAAATGTAATTTTTTTCGCTTAACTTATTTCTCATGAACCAATTTTGAAGTAAGGACGATATCATTGATTCATGGTGGTAGTCACTTATTTGGTAAGATAGGCCGAAACATTTGTCTATAATCTAAGTAATTTAGAAGTAAAATTTTTCTTTTTATTCTTGACTTAGCTACAATTTAACGTGCGATAGATTACTTTAATCCAACTCTGGAATGATCTGAGAGACAGTCTCTATCTAATCGAGAGTAATATGTGCATCAAGTGTTGACGCCTTATGAGTTAATCTGATCTGTTTTTTATTTCTAGCGTTTACATTTCTTTCGAATGCATCATTATAAAAAGTCTTGTATAACCTATTCTAAAATGTATTATCATTAACTGCTTGAGACACATAGTCATTAAAGCTCAAATTAAGCTCATTGATTATTTTGGCGTTCTTAGATTTCTTTGATGTAACTGAAGTAACACTTATCTTAGGTTTAAATGGATTAGGACTAATGGGCTTTCTATTTGAATCATTTAGCTATGAATAGGATTTTTCTGGTACATATTTAGACCATATACTGTTATTATTTGTGGATGTTGTGATATAGAATTCTGGGTTGTTAGTTTTGTTCGTATCAAAGGTCTTTGAATTGATGAGAGGATCTTCACCTTAGTCTTCTAATCTTAGTGTATCCATTGTCCTTTAATCTGACTTTTACTTAGCTACTTTAATATTTAAGCTTTCAAGCAGATTATTACGACCTTTATTTAAGACATCCTCAAGCAACCGATCATCAGATCTATCAGTTTGTGAAACTTCTCGCTTCAAAATACTTTTCTCAAATTTTATCATTCTTTTGAGTTTTTCTGTATTCTCAAGGAAAAACCTAACTCCTATTTCCTTTTTGGGCTTACCCTCTACTTGAATCATTCCCTCTTAGTCATAGAAATACTTTTTGACAGGACTACAAACATCTTTAGAATTAAATAGGGATGTTCTTAATGGATCGATGGTATCTTAAAGTCGATACTCATCAACCTGTCTCAATTTTGTTCCATCCCTTGATTCATTTGAAGAAGGATACTTCCCTTTCACAAAACGTTTCTTTGTAATAAAATCAGAATCGAAAAATCCATCTTGGTAAGTTCTATTTAGAGATTTAGCGTTTTGAACAAGGACTGGCATTTTTTACTGCTGCTGTGATGGATAAACTTATGGTGGTGGCTGTTGATGGCAGTACTTTTTATAACTTTCAATGAAGCCATCTTTCCAAAGGTAGAATGGTCTCAATTCATGATTATTCCTGTTTTTGAGCTGGTATTTCTTGTATGGCATATTTAGCTTTTGCTTATTTTCATGGCTCTTGTCAACATCAGGTACAAATTACTTTTGCTTAAACTTTGCAGGTTATTTAACTGCTTTAGCAGACTCATTTCCTGCCATCATTGAGGAAATTTGAATGCCATTGAGGGTTATTTTATTTTCCCTGGTAATTCTTTCGATAGAGTGTCTACGCTCAGAGAAGCTTGATAAATATTCACTTTATCTATACTCCTGATCTTCTATTGTTATTTATCTTTTCCTATTTACAGATTCAATAAGTATAATATTCTTACGATCATGCTGGCATATGGTTGTGTGCTCTTATGTTTAAAATCTGAGACATATTACTGCTCAGATAGTCATGACTTAATTCATTCTTCCATCCTTGAATATCGAAACCAACTGGTGGAGGAATTATAGATGCTCTTTAATGCATTAATTTTAACTTAAAATAATTTATTGGTTTTTTTAATAAACTTAAATAAACTAGTCAGCTATGTCGTTTTATAAATTATTAAACTATCATATCAGACATCATTTAAGTTAAAATTAAATAAATTCTGGAATATCTTAGCATTACTAAATACGATAAACTTTTAAATGCCATTATCACTTCATAATATAAAAATCAATAATGAACTTTGCATCATTTTCAATGTCTAATACTTGTTTGTAGTTTGTAATCATTGGAATCCAATCTGTTCCTACTCTTCTTAAGCATTTACAGTACCCATTTATTGTCTATTAAGCAACTGCTGAGTCCTATTCATGTTTGATGTTATCTCAAACTAACTAGGATTATCTCGTTAAGGGTCAAATTATAAATTGATATTAGCATTGCTATTTACAGGTTTTTGGAGACTATCCTTCTCTTCTTATTCTTTGCAAATTTCATCCATTAGCTTTTCTTCTTCTTCCTCTTTTATTTCTTCTCTGATATTTTATGGATTAGAAGGTGTCGCAAGTTGCTAATGAGTTTCATTAACTCTAATTCTGAAATCAACAGTAGGCTGGATGTTTAAAGCTCTAGGTGAGGGAGAGTTATTGACTGTTAATTGGTGCTAAGTCATAGCATTACTTTAGGGTCTTGAATTAGGATTAGCAAATCTAGTTTATGTATTAATCTAATTATTTTCACTTGATTAGACTAGTCTCACACTTATAGATCTTTCTTTATTGTTCTATCGAGCTGTATTTAATCCTATAGTCAGATTTTCAGTTTGAGTGATATTCCCATTCGCAAACTGGTTGAATGCAATCAAGGGCGCGACCTAGTTAAGCTTTCCAGTATGCTTTTAGTTTGAAAGATTGCTTCTAGATATACCTTGATTGTGCTATGTCAGCTCTGAGAAGTATTAATGCATTTCTTCATCATTCGGGCCAAGTTCATCTCTCTTAGTCTCATGTTTCGAAGTTTATGGACTAATTATCTTGCTTAAGAGATCTCCAAATAGCTCTCTTTTTCGCTTAAGCAAATCCTTTGGAAGGTAATCAGTGCATTAAAAGTACTCGAAATCTAATGCCAATTACTTTTTAAGATGCTGTTCTTTCTATTTTTTCGATACGACACATGAGCAACTATTTTAATATCATTGAGGGTAAATTACATTTTGTTAATAAATGGAGTAGGTACATCCTAGAGGGTTAAAGTAAGCATTGTTCTTCCGGTCTAAATCATGAATTCTTTGTTCAGTTTAGTTGAAAGCTATGCAGGCTTTCTTAACAACAACAGAGTACCAAACTTTGAATGATAATCGGTAAGTATTATTAGGTTTCGGTCCTAATCATATCTTAATAGTGAATGGCATCTTGAAACACTAATATCGGCAACCCTTACATCAGAATCGTGGCCTCTACCCTATATGTATTTATTTGGTGTGAGACAACTTACGACTTTTAAAGTATGCCTTTCGCTTAATCTGATAATCTGAAAAGTTCTTCCGTTCGGCATTCCTAGTACCTCCATTATTAGATATTATCCATCAGTAGGTCGATTGATCTTGTAAATTTCAATTTTCTTTTTACTATCCTTAACATAGTCTACATTGGAGTTACTAATTATTAAATATATACTTACCTGGATATGTAGTTTTACACAATTCACACTAAGATATTTTATACAGATAAATTGTAGAAAAAGGTAGTTCCCGCACACTTCTCTTACCGTTCAACCACTCTTGTAGACATTGTAAATGAATGTACTTCATAGTTCCTGCGCATTTGCATGGATTTATAAGTTCATTATCGATATCATTTTCTTCTCCAAGACATATACGGCAGGATTTAACATTAGCCACCTTAGCTGATTTCGAATTCTTATTAAGCATCAGGAGCTTTTCAGTTTCATCTTACAATTTTTACTTCTAATCATTTAGCGAGTGATTTTTAGTCATAAACAATTGAGGAACCAAAAATTCATTATTGGAGAAAAGAGAGTTTTAAATATCGTGGAAATTAGACTCCCTGTTATTAAAAGAAGCTAATCTGTAAGGATCATCTATGGAGTCTTGTAAAATATCTGCTTGTCTAGGACTAGCTGCATACATAATATCGGACTCCTAGTGATCAAGTATGCCACCATCATGCATGTTATTCAAAATAATCCGCCTTCTGGGAGAGTCTTGCTTTGCCTAAGTCATTATCATATCGTTAATCACCTAGTTGATATCTTAATCTCCCTCCGATTCAACATCAGTAATATTTTTCTCAAGTGAATTATCCTGATTTTACTACGATTCTATCCTATTTAAGCTCTTTTACACAGATGACTCCTTTATCCTAAACGGCACTCGTCCAAATTTGACAATATCTCCTACTCTTAAAATAATACCCTTTAATTAAATAAATAAAAAAATGCAAATCTTACTTTGTTTTCATCAAAGTCGTCAAACCTCTAGGATTCCCGGAGACTACTCTTTTTACCTTTTAGTGTTAAATTTTTCACAACTAAATAAACTTTCTTAGTCAGATCCATTATAACCTAGGTCATTTCCTCAGTTTGTTTTATTGTTTAATTCAGATTATTAGAGTTCACATCAATGTCATTAGCATGATAAACAAAGTATTTTCCTTATGAATAGATAACCGTAGCTAGACTATCTTCCCTTTGCTTAATCGATGTAGCTTTAGGAGGTAAAATATTCATTTCATCGGTTTGACTTCTCTATATATAAACTATATGATTACCTTATTTAAATATAATTACAAGTTCCCTTGGACATAAATAATTATTTCTTAAGACTACTGGCCTCAAAGTCAAACAATCCATGCGAATCTCTATGCCAAGTTTTACTCATTATCTTTACTTATCTATACAAACAAATTTTATTGTTATTTTTAGATTTATTATTGACAGTATGTCTAATATATTTACCTTGCAGGATAAACAGGGGACAGTCCACTGAAAATATTATGCCTAGATATGTTGTCTCCGATTGTTGAATTATTATTGCGATCAAAAGATCTCTGCTCTAGATGAATGAGATTCATTTAATATTTTTATTATAGCTGCTTTTATAAATACTTAACAATAATTTTTATAAGCTGAAATTAATATCGTTCATGCTACTCATTTGTTACTATTATTTTCATGAAATATTTCTAATACGGGGTTTTGGGGTTTTGGGGTTTTGGGGTTTTGGGGTTTTGGGGTTTTG